AGGAGTTTGGCGAGGCCATGGAGAATGACTTTTCGGATGGCTTCGGGGAGATTCTGGTCCACCATCCAGCATCTCAGGGCGGGAAAGCGGTGCAGCATCAACACTGTTTATGGTGGGGATGGTGCACTGCTAACCTCAGCTCGGGATGTTGTGGGTCGGTGGAAGGAATACTTCAAAGACCTCCTCAATCCGACCGACACGCCTTCCAATGAGGAAGCAGAGTCTGGGGACTTGGGGGTGGACTCACCTATCTCTGGGGCAGAGGTCGCTGAGGTGGTTAAAAAGTTCCTCGGTGGCCGGGCACGGGGGTGGATGAGATCTGCCCAGAGTTCCTTAAGGCTCTGGATGTTGCGGGGCTGTCTTGGTTGACACGCATCTGCGGCATCGCGTGGACATCGGGGGCGGTGCCTCTGGATTGGCAGACCGGGGTGGTGGTTCCCATCTTCAAGAAGGGGGACCGGAGGGTGTATTCCAACTATAGGGGGATCACACTCCTCAGCCTCCCTGGTAAGGTCTATTCGGGGGTGCTGGAGAGGAGGGTCTGTCGGATAGTCGAACCTCGGATTTAGGAGGAGCAGTGTGGTTTTCGCCCTAGCCGTGGAACCGTGGACCAGCTCTATACTCTCTGCAGGATCCTTGAGGGTGCGTGGGAGTTTTCCCAACCAGTCTACATGTGCTTTGTGGACTTTGAGAAGGCATTCGACTGCGTCCCTCGGCGAGTCCTGCGGGGATTGCTCCGGGAGTATGGGGTGCCGGGCTGCCTTATAAGGGCTGTTCGGTCCCTGTACAACCGGTGTCAGAGCTTGGTCTGCAGTCGGACTCGTTCCCGGTGAGGGTTGGACTCCGCCAGGGCTGCCCCTTATCACCGATTCTGTTCATAACTTTTATGGACAGAATTTCTAAGTGCAGCCAGGGCGTTGAGGGTGTCCGGTTTGGTGACCTCAGGATTAGGTCTCTGCTTTTTGCAGATGATGTGGTTCTGTTGGCCTCATCAGACCGTGACCTTCGGCTCTCACTGGAGCAGTTTGCAGCCGAGTGTGAAGCGGCTGGAATGAAAATCAACACCTCTAAATCCGAGACCATGGTCCTCAGCCGGAAATAGGTGTAGTGCTCTCTCCGGGTCAGGGAGGAGGTCCTTCCCCAAGTGGAGGAGTTTACTTATCTTGGGGTCTTGTTCACGAGTGAGGGAAGGATAGAACGGGAAATCGACAGGCGGATCGGTGCGGCATCAGCAGTGATGCGGGCGCTGCATCGCTCTGTCGTGGTGAAGAAGGAGCTGAGCCAA